TGGTCTTCCCCTACCCGCTCAACGAGGGCGGCTCGCCCAAGCCCTGCGCCTCGCCCGACTCCTCCGCCTTCTCCCCGTCCTCGGACTCTCTCCTCTCCTCCACGCAGTCCTCCCCGCGGGCCAGCCCCGAGCCCCTGGTGTTCCACGAGGAGACCCCGCCCACCACCAGCAGCGACTCCGGTAAGCGGGGTCTCCGGGGGCGCGTGGGGGCGCTGAGCGGTCCTCCCTTTCCGTTGAAGGCCGCTGTACCTGGCCCCCGCATTTCTTTCTCATTCTATATTTGGAGGGATATAGGGGCTCTGTGGGCCCCTGAGCTGGGACCTCCGCCGTCCCTTCCCCTGGACCTCCCTGGTGGCCGCCCCACCCCTAAGGAATTCCATTTGAGTTTTGCAGGCTTCTGGCTTATCTTGCAATTCAATCCACCCCTTTCACCTCTCTTAAGCATTGTAATTGCCCTGGAGGGGGGTGTGAAAGAGGAGGAGGAGAGAAAATTGGCCTTGAGGAGGGTGAATGAGTCTCCTTTCTCCTCCCCTCCTTTCTAAGGGGAAAGGTTGGAATGCGATGGGCTAGGACTAGAAACCTACAAAATTTCCAGGCCCGGCAGCCTCCTGCTTCAGCCTCAGCTCAGGAGCTAGTGAAAGTGCCCAGAGTGCCTGGGTTGAAAAGCCGGCCCTCTTCCGGGCGCTTTGATCACTTGAAAGGAAATCCTTGCCAGAAATCAAACTTCTTTTGTCCTGCCCCCCAGCCCCAAGGGCTTTTGGCAAAAGTTTCTTTCTTTTTGCACTTCCAGTAAAGTAGGGAGTTGCTAAAGTCATCTCAAGAGATGTGAAGCTGTCATCCACAGCCTCGAGGGCTTCTCGGTAAAGTCCCTTCAGAGTGGGCGGTGCCGGGGAGGGGCTTTGGTTTGGGTGTGTCCCAAGCCTCATTAAGTCTTAGGTAAGGACTGGCCTGATAGCCGCATTCTGGTGAATTATTAGTTGCTTTTCTGTGCCAGGATCCCGGCTGCCCCTCTTCTTCATTGTGTACCGTTTTTCTGGGGAGAAGAGAAGAGGTAGTCGCCCGGGCTTGACTCTTGCGGGGTGTCCTTTGGTCCAGAGTCCTCTCTTGATATTCAGTGCTTCACATTCGCATAGCATTGGTGGAACCTTGGCCCCTGTTGGTGCAAGGAAACAGTGCTAACCAAGTGCTACTCTGTTTCCTCCCTTAAAGAAGAGCAAGAGGATGAGGAAGAAATCGATGTGGTGTCGGTGGAGAAGAGGCAGCTCCCTGCCAAAAGGTCGGAACCTGGGTCACCCCCCGCGGGCCACAGCAGGCCCCCCCACAGCCCTCTGGTCCTCAAGCGGTGCCACGTGTCCACCCACCAGCACAACTACGCCGCGCCCCCATCCACGAGGAAGGACTGCCCCGCCACCAAGAGGGCCAAGCTGGACAGTGGCAGGGTCCTGAAACAGATAAGCAACAACCGCAGATGTGCCAGCCCTCGGTCCTCGGACACGGAGGAGAACGACAAGAGGCGGACGCACAACGTGTTGGAGCGGCAGAGGAGAAACGAGCTGAAACGGAGCTTTTTTGCCCTTCGTGACCAGATCCCGGAGTTGGAAAACAACGAGAAGGCCCCCAAGGTGGTCATCCTTAAAAAAGCCACGGCGTACATCCTGTCTGTCCAAACGGAGGAGCAGAAACTCCTGTCCGAAAAGGACTTGTTGAAGAAGCGGCGAGAACAGTTGAAACACAAACTCGAGCAGCTTCGGAACTCTTGCGCGTGAGGTGTCCTGGGGCCTGGGTCCTCCGCCTCGCGGGGCGGGGCCTCCAGGGAGCAAAGTTCCTTTTGCCAGAACTGCAGCAACACGAACCCCTCCCGATTGCATGGTTGGTCACAACCTCACAACCATGGCTGAGTCTTGGGACTGTAAGATTTAGCCATAAACTGCCTCAGATAGAACTTTAGGCATAAAAAAAAGAGTTTTTTTTTTTTTTATGCTTGACATTTTGTTTTCCTTTAACAGATTTGTATTTAAGAATTGTTTTTTAAAATCTTAATGTTGACCAACTTTTCCCTGTGTAAATATGGATATTAAATGTAAATAACTTTAATAAAACGTTTATAACAATTATACAAGATTTCAAACATGTATTATAAACCATAATTTTTTTATTTAAGTACATTTCCTTTTTAAAGTTGATTTTTTTTCTATTGTTTTTAGAAAAAAATAAAATAATTGGCAAATATATCATGGAGCCAAATCTCAAGTTGTGTTTTGTTTCTTGTCTCCCCCCACCCTGCCCGCAACACACACACACACACACACCCTGCCACCACCATTTTTTCCCATTGATTACAAATTATCAGAATTTGACCCTGGCAAGGGCGAGTTTACAAAGATGAAGAAAGTATTCAAAGAAAAGCAAGAGGTTTCCTTTTGTTAAATGGGGCTGGGGGTCATGAGATGCATCCTGGTGGAGTGATAAAAGAGTCGGAAAGGTGGGTTGAGGGTTAGAGGTAAGGGAAGAGGTTAGAGATAGCAGTTAAGTATACAAAGCGATAAGAGGCAGCCAAAGGAACTCACTCCAGCCACCACCCCGCCACCTCACCACAAACTCAGGAGCTCAGGGCCAAAGACTCAGGAGGAAAGAGCAGAGCCTCCTGCTCCTGGCTCAGTGCTCCCAGGTGATGGCCCCTTCCCTCCTGGGGCTATGTCCTTCACCCTAAATTACAGAAAAGTAAAAGCTCTGGGCGTTGTGTAATTTATCCACACAGAGCAGAAAATCTGGGTCCTCTGTTGGAAACATGTCAGACTTAGCTGTGTCTCACCTCGCGGCCTCTGCGCTCCAGAGTGCGGCTGGTCTGGGTCTCAATGAGTGGACCATTACTCAACAGCAACCCCACGAAGAAGGGGCTGCTGATTTCCCTGTAGTTCAGAGGGGAAACAGGCACAGAAAGCCTGAGTGGAGAGATTCGGACCCAGGCTGTCTGTACCCATCCTGAACCAGGCGTTCTCTAAACGGGATGATGGGGAAAAAAAAACGCCATTTTTGAGAACAGGATTCATGATCCACAAGCCAGTGGATAATGCATTCTGAGTTTCCATATTTAGACCTGGTCCAATGTACGTTCCCTTCTGATTAGTTTACCTTGCTTTCTTTGATTTCATGTTTTCATTCATTTTCCCATTCACAATGAGAAGAAGCCCACAACTCCGTCCTTCCTACCTGAGGCATTTGTTACATCAGATCACTGCTTGCTCCAGGAAAGAGCCAGTTTGGCAATGCTAGTGCTTGATCATAAAATCCAACATGCTTGGCCTCAGTCATGTGAGTCATTATTTTAGGAACTGCAAACTCTCCTTCATTCCAAGCACTTTCACACTCATGACACATGCTTGTCATTAGTCCATGAGAAGGCAGTTTTGAATGGGTGCGTTATTAATTACAAGCCTCAGGACACCCACAGCCTGAACTAGAACACCGACCACAGGCGAATGGATGGTACCTGGCTTCTCTAATTACCTCATTGTCTCCGACTCAGAGAAGATCTTCAGCTCCCTGCACTGTCTTTGGAATTTTAATCCACCACCACCCATAAATCAATACATAATTACTGTCTCTGACCCCCAGAATAATCTACGCAATCCCTTAATGTCTAGTTCTTGATCTTTCTTTTGGGTCCTTAGTCCCACCCTCAGCTTCCAGCTGCCACACCCTGTACCCTAAATTCAAAGGAATGTACACTGGGCAGTTCAAAGAGGAACAGGAGTGGGGGCGTTCTTAAACGGTCCTCTCAGCCCCTTTGTGGTCCGGGGCTGGAGTGAAGCCCTGTAGTGACTCACTTGGGAACCGGGAAGGTGTTAGTTTGAATCACGGAGTCCAGGCAAGCCTGAGGAATGGGAGAGAGGGTGCCTCGCTAAGAAAACAACTCGTTCCACACTATCGGGAAACCACATTAAGGATGCCGGGCTTGGCTGTGGGAATTGAAGGGAGCCATTCCAAGCACCTATTAAGCCACCTCCGCCCAAATTTACCCATCTAGGGATTGGGCTGGACACAGGACAGGCGCCAACTGCTTTCCAGAAAGTCGGGCTGACCTTGACCACAGCAGAAATTGGCCCTCTACTCAGTCCAGAGTCCCAGGGGGTCCTTGATTGGTGCAGATTGTTTCATAGATAACAACCAAGATTCGGAGGGAGGGGAGCGGCTTGCAATTCAGTCCGGAACTTGCAGGAAAGAATAAACCAGTACTAAATCTGTTTTTACCCACGACACTGTGGACTTAAGGGCTCCCCCAGGGGAGTCCAGGGTGGCTTTGTGGGGGGTGGAATTATAAAAAGAAAGGAAGTGTAGTTTTATGATGCCATTTGGAAGCGACAAAGGCAATCAACATTATAAAAGCAATCAATCAAACTTTAAAATGAACGAAGTTTTTGCAATCCAGGGCTAATACTTAGACCACTCAGAACTTCTGTGTGTAAGCAGATACCCCCAACCCTGGTAAGTAAGGCAAACTCTGCCACAAACCTTGGGAGAAGGGGAGAACATTGTGCTGGGGTTTCTGCGGCTTGTTTCCAATAATCTCTGGTTACTTCAGTCAGTGGTCTGTAGCATACAAACTAAGACCTCTGAAGCACTTCTTCCCAGCAATACCTAATCCTGGAACTGAACGATCTGGAAGATGTTCCTCTTGCCTGTTTACAAATACTTCATGAGACAGCTCTACAAAACACTCCCCAATTAAGGTTGTGGACCCTTCTAGGCCTATTTAAAGGAATACAGAGGTAGAAATAATAGAGTGATTTTCAAAAACAAAACTGGGGCGGGCAGTGTGGCTCAGCAGTGGAGCATTTGCCTAATGTGCATGAGGCTATGAGTTCCACCCCAGTACTGTAAAAAATAATAACAATGTTTCATCGCTCACCACCAAGGCCTTAGCATGTTGGCTCTTTTTTGTGCTAGCTCCTTCAGTAGAACTAGGGGAACCTACGAATTTAGAGGCAACTTCAGTTATGCCAGTTTTGCCGATCTGGTGTGAGGTGACTAAATGACTCCGAGTGGATTTTGTTTTTAATTTTATCTCATTCAACATTAATCTATACCCAGCTCTTTAGGAAGACCCAGTGGAAGGGACAAGTGTTAACGGCATGCAGATCTTCTGGAGCCAAAAGGGATGCCCTTTGTCTTTGAACAATGTCTGGCCGCTCACCCCCAGTCCCCAAGATTTTCTTCTCATCTCACCCCATCGTCCCACCAAGGGATCAGTTCTTCCAGCAGCCAGAGGTGGGTAGGAGCCTGGGAGGGGTGAGCTTGGGAGGGGGTACCCTTCCTCATGCCCCCATCCCGCCCCTTTCCTCTCCCTGGATGCCTACAAGAGTCCAGCTGAAAAACAATTGTTTTCAGGCGACAATACCAAAGTTTAAACTAGTTAAATGGCTGGCCAAAGTCACAGCAGGGCAGTGCCAACAGCAATAATAGTTAATGTTTGCTATTTGCATTATCTTATTTCATCCCCCAAACAATTCCTAGGAGGAAAAACAAAACAAACGAACAAATAAAAAACCCAATCTGTACCAGGGATTGAACCAGGGGCTTTCACAACATCCCCAGTTCTTTTTATTTTTTATTTTCAGACAGGGTCTCACTGAGTCACCAAGTCACCCAGGCTGGACTCAAACTGAATCCTCCTGCCTCAGCTTCCCAGAGGAAGGGGGACCACACTCAGCTGAGGAGAATTGTATTTCTAATGCCCATTTCACAGATAAGACTACTGAAACTTTGATTGAGTAATATGCCTGCATTCACTGAGCAGAAATTACGTAGTCATTCGTACATATCTGCTGGGTTCCTACTGTGTGCTCACTCTGAGCTGGGGGGGGAAGAAACAGCCCATGTAAACGAGACCAGAAAGATTCCTCTGCCCCCGGCACTTATGGACTAGTGGAGAACAAAGAGCACAGGCAATGAGGCTCTAAATTATCTTACTTAAATTATTGTATTTAAATTACCTAAATTATCTTTTTAAGAGCAGGAGATTTAGCTCAGTGGTGCCGCCTCCTGCTCGCAAGGGCAAAGGACCCGAATTTGATCCCCAGTACCAAAAATAAATAAGTAAATAAATTATCTTTTTAAAAACGTGATTCCCCACTCCCATCTTTTTTAGTGCAAGGATCAAACCCAGAGCCCCTCACACGCTGCTGGGCAAGGGTCCCACCACTGTTCTGTGTCCCAGCCCAGACTGTAAGTCAGCGCACTGACACTTTCACAGAGCTGCTGCGAGCTCCAGAGCTCCAACGTAAGGCGCTTCTACCCCTCCAGGAAAATAAACTAGAGGATGGGGTCCAGGAAGTGCTGAAGGACAAAGGAGAAGAGGTCAGCAGCGGCTGGAGGGGGTGCTAAGAGAAGGTGGAATCCACCAGGGAGATGAGTAGGAGGGTCACCAGCAGGCCCCTGCCCCAGCCACTTCTCCCTCAGCCCTTCTTTCTGTCCATCACCAGTGAAAGCTACCTAGGGTTCCCCAGCACACCCTGCACTCCCACAATACCTTCTCCGTGATTCCCAGAGAGGGGTTCCCGGCAGCGCTTGTGGACTTGCACAATGCAGTTGTGATCTGAATTAGAATCCCAAGAGGCGGAGACCCTCCTAAACCCTGGAGAGCAGGAAGGATTTTCAGAACCTCTGCCTGCTCCAGTACAGCCACCTCCGCATCTGCCTACATCACAAATGTGACTCCTTCCCTCCTTAAAATCCTGCAGAGGGCTAGGCGTGATGGCGCATGCCTAGAATCCTAGCACTTGTGCGGGTGAGGCAGGAGGGTCTGAGAGTTTGAGACAGCCTGGGCTACATAGTGAGTTCAAGGCCAGCCAGAGCTAGTAGTCTATCTCAAAACAAACAAGCAGAGAAACTTCAGAGGGCTCCTGCAGCCTCGTAGATCAAGTCCAAAGCTGTCCTCCAGGCCTTCTGGTCCAGACACATTAATCTACTCCCTACCTCTGTACCAGCAGCACAGACCCCACAGCTCTCTGACCACCAGACAGGCTCTCAGGACCCCAGGCAGCTCATCCAGGCAGTCAGATAGTGAGCCCTGGAGGGAGTCGGTGCAGAAGACGAGA